GGCAATTTTTACAGTTGCAGGGTTAAAACGTGGGGGACCTGGCAACTAGACCACTTCATTGAGCTGAAGTGGTCTGAGTGACTATAGTGATCCTTTAATTTTAGACATAGCCACTGTAAGAAATAGATATGCAAAACTGCAATATTGTAAATAACTTTCTGTGTATGTGACTGATTTCACAACTTGGGGTCATCTACTTGATAACAGTGTGATAAGGATCAAAGCTTTTAGTTGGATTTTACAACACCCAGCTAAAACAAAAGCTTACATCCCTCCAGCAGTTCTCCTGCCAACCAGTTTTCCATACATGTTATCAGGAGATCATAGATCAGGAGACCTGAAGTAATAACATCTAGGTGTAATTATGGAAGTATGTGTTTTCCCAAGCCATCCTGTCTCTAAAAGAAGTCCAGGCTACTCCCAACTTACCCAAAAGCCAACCCTAACTTATCACTTCTTAAACAACGTTATAATATAGCTGGGGGGAAGAGATCAAAGAAAAGGACTTGTGTAAAGATGGAACTCTCTGGAAAAAGAGGGCGGGATAAACCACTTTTGGGAGGGAAAATGGATTCTGGGACATGTAGTTAATGGCTGCAAGAATCAGTCTTTAAAAAGAACAACAGCCAATGAGATTGGGCTCCTCTCTTTCTCTTTATTTTTTTTTTAGACAATATTTATTTTTTGTCGTGCGAAAGGTACGAATGAGATAGCATTGCAAGTTACATATCCAAGAATGACACGTTAGAATGGCATAACATTCGTATGACGCACACAGGTTTTTGTGATGTTAGGGGTCAGGGTTACAGCAGAGTAAGGAGCTAAAAACCCAACAGTTGCCTCTCACCATAGAGCTTTCGTAAATACTTTGCAGGGCGTAAAGCCGTATTTAGCTGTAGATAGGGCCTGTCTTAGCCGTGCTCTTTCTTGTCTAAAGTATGCCTGTGTCGGGTGCCCAATGTCAGGCTTAGGACCCAGAGTGACTGCGTTATTATCGGCACTCTAAGCTCGGCTATGTATCGGTGTAGACTCAATGATCGTAAGGGTGTCAGAGACTGCTTGAAGCCCCTCGTGTGAATCCGCAGGTGTTGTGATGGCGTATAGTGTAGGAGGGGCTCGGCCATCTCTTAAAGGGTCCAGTGCCCACTATCGGCCACACATGGGTGGGTCATTAGGCTATCTGGTATACTCCGTGGGACCCGGATGTCGTGTCCCGTCCCCCCTTCGCATGATCTCCACGTCAATGTTGAGGTAGCGGTGGGTCATGTGCGGAGAGCACTTTGTCTGTCCTTATAGGGGAAAGTAGGGAAGGGGTGTGGAGGAGGGGAATAGTGGGGGGGAAAGCTGGGCTGGGTGAGGGGGAGAAGATGTGGGTGGGGGTACACCCCCTCGCCCCCACGCCCCAGACTGCGGGATGCATCACACGAGTGTGGTCGAACGCCGGCCCACCCGGTCCTCTGTGCCACCTATTCCCTGGGTCTGCAGGCCATGTATTTGATCCAGGCAGCCCATAGTGGCGTGCAGTTTTCTGCTGTACCTCACAGTTCCGCTGTGAGGTTCTCCATGCTGTAGATCTTTTCTACTTTCTCTATCCAGTTCGTTATGGTTGGAACGGTTTTTGACTTCCACCTGGCCAGGATCAGGCTTTTGATGGCATTTTGAAGTGTTGCATGAGGGCATCTTGGTGTGATGGAGCAACATTGGCAGGGGTTGCAACGGTATGTCCAAACCCAGAATGTCTTTCAGCTTCCTATGTATCTGTTGCCAAAAGACAGCTATTTGTGGGCATGACCACCAAATGTGTAGGTCCGTACTCTCAGCCGCACCACGTCTCCAGTATTGGGCTGTCGGTGTCACGCCCATGCGCAACAGCCATGCAGGCGTCCTGTACCAGCACGTCAGAAGTTTATAGTTAATAGTCCCCTGGTGTGTTAGAATGTGGATTTTCTCCCATTGTGGGTCCCATAGTGTGGCTAGTTCCCAGCTCGATTGGTATGTCACCGGCGGGCTCCACGTAACTGTGAGCAGCATAGCATACAGTACCATGATTCCCTGTTGTAGGTGTGTCCCAGTGGAGCATAGTGTCTCAAATTGGGTTAGTTCTCCATGTACAAGATGCTTTCCGGTAGCGTGCGTTAGTAGTGCTGTATTTGGTGGAATCTAAAGCAGAGCAGCCCTGTTGTGCGAGCCTGTGTCAGTAGGGTTTCCAAAGGTTTCATTTGCTCATTAGTGCACCAGTCTCCCAGATGCAGTCTGTCTGGGCTTCTGAGCCTGTGGTGCCAGTCGACCTGCTATCTCTGAATTGTAAACCACTGGTGTCAAAGGGGCTGGGTTAGTCGATAGCTTCAGCTTGTATCATATTTTTGACCACACTCTCAGAGTCTCTCCAATGAGTGGGTGTTCACGTATTTCCCTGGTCTGTAGGGGGTTCAGTAGCCACGGTACCAGCAGTATTCATCCCTGAGCTTGTGTGCGTTCAAGGTGGACCCATTTCTTGTCTGATTTCGGCACATGCCAGTCTATGATTCAGAGAAGGTGCGCGGCATCGTAGTAAGTCTGCATCGAGGGCAGGCCCGGCCCGCCAGGAGCTTCAGCAAGACAAGCTGCGCATGTTTGAGCCTGGATGAGCCCGATGTCCATATAAATTGCCCGATAGCCATGTTAAAAGACCTGAAGAAGGTCAGGGGGATCTGGATCGGGATGGTCTGGTAGAGGTACAGGAGCCGCAGCAGGAGGTTAATTTTAACGGCGTTGTCCTACCAAACCACGAAACACACAACTCCCCCCACCTCAGAATATCCGATTGCAGCGTCCGCAGCAGGGGCAGGAAGTTTTCTGGGAACAATCGGTCCAGGTCTTTTTGTCAGCCATATTCCAAGGTACTTGATGCAGTGCGTGCACCACTTGAATGAGAAGTTTGTTTTTAGTTGTTCCAGTAGTCCTGTGGGCAGTTGAAGTAGGAGAGCTTCAGATTTGCCCCCGTTCAGTATGTTTGAATGCCTCCAGCAGGTTCGGAAGTGTTACCGTTGGGTTCTTGACGAAGAACAGCAGGTCGTCTGCGTATGCCACTACCTTGTGGACCACTCCACCGAGTGCAAACCCTGTTATGTTCCCATCCCATCTGACCACCTCCAGGAAGGATTCTAGTGTGAGGGCAAACATGAGGGGGGACAGAGGGCATCCTTGTCGCGTTCTGTTCTGAATTGTGAATGTTGGGGATAGGGCTCCGTTGATCCATAGGCCAGCCTTTGGGATCATATACAGAGCTGCTATCCATGTCAGCATGTGGAGGCCAAAGCCCATTTTCTGCAGGGTCTCCTGCATAAACTGCCAATCCACCCGGTCAAATGCCTTTTCAGCATCGGATGAAAGGAGAAGGCCTCCACAGGAGGCTCTGCGGGTGTCATGTGTGATGTTGAGGGCCCTTATGATGTTATCCTTAGCCTCCTGGCCCGGGATGAAGCCAGTGTGGTCTGGAGCGATGCGGCCTATGCGGAGGGCCAGGATCTTAGTGAACAATTAAAGATCCGCATTGAGTAGCGAGATGGGTATATAGCTGGTGCATGCGGTAGGATCTATCCCCTCCTTCAGAATAACAGCCACGGTTGCCATGAGGGTGTCATCTGGGAACTGTCCACTTTCTAGTATGGAGTTCAGGCCCACAAGGAGTTCGGGCAGGAGAATCTCCCCGAAACTCCTAAGGTATCGTGTGGGAAAGCCGTGGCTTTTAGGGCCCCTGAGAGTTCTTCCAGCGTAATGGGGGCATCCAAGTTCTCCAATTGGGCCTGTGTCACCGTCCAGTGCACGTGTTGTTCCAGGTACTCTCACATCCGGGTCAGTCTCTGTTGGGTCACTTCCATCTGCGTGTCCACCAGCAAATTATATAGTTTTTTGTTGAAGTCCTGGAACTCTGCGACAATTTTGTCTGGTTGTAGCATGAGGGATGCCTGCTGTCTGAATTTTAGTAATCAGGGACAGATGTTGCTTCTTTTGTAGCATTCTGGCTAGCATCCGTCCGTATTTGTTTGAGTGTTTGTTGAAGTATCTGTGTGATCTGCGGAGCATATGTGCCAGTTTCTGGGACAATTGGTTTAGTCTCCTTCGAGCTTCCAGGAGGGCCCGGTAGGTGTCTTCTATAGGAGTGGCTCTATGGTCTAGTTCAAGTTGCGTTGTCCGTTGGTGTAACGGAACTCCCCATTAATGGACGCTTCCTAGCTTGCGCCAAGGACCACAAGCACCGCACTGGACACCACAACCACCGCAGACTCCACAACCGCCATAGCTTAACTGGAGTCTCGACGTTTTCCTTCCACCCTGAATCAGCTTCTGTCCTCCAGGACCGTGTGGGGAAGACCTCTCCTCCAGGAGAGTGTATCAGGACAAAGCTCTTAAAAGAGCTAAGTGATTAAAGCTCAAGGGAGTATGCAGAGCATAGCAATCCCTAGTGTGAATATAGCTGTCACCTCCAATCACGAGTCAAGACTACGTGTTGAGAGTTAAGAAGATCTCACTGTACTGGCACATTCAGCCTCTTTTATTCACATTTTAAACACATAGTACTGCCCACAGGGTTTTGCAGAACAACCAATCAATACGTACAATACACTCAGACACTCCCACACAAAATCCTCCCCTCTGCCTCTGATATAATTAATGAACACAATGGTCTAACTTAATTATCACAGGCAGGAAAATACACAGTTTTACACAATATTCATAACTCTAAAAGTATACATCACATTCACATAAAACTTACATTTTCAGAATCAGCACACTCCAAATACAAACATACGTCAAAATCATACAAATTGGTCCAGTGGGTCAAAATTTTGCCATCAGTGTCTCTTTAAGGGTGTAGGAGGCAACACAGGACATCTCTGGGTGTCCCATCTTGGCGTTGTGGATCCAAGCCCGCTGGACCCGGTCGAATTGAATGTCAACGGGACACTCCCTGTCCAGTATCTGTCTGGCAAGGGTGCAGAGTCAGGCTCTGGTAGGCCTCAAATCCTTATGTTTTGGCAGCGGCTGCGTTTTTCAAGATCTACAACCTGACTGCGCAAGGCAAGGAGGAGATTGCCCTGGCAGGTGGTTGCGAGCTCAGCGGCTCTGTGCTGTGTACGGTTTGCTTGTGCCTCTGTTTCCAGGGCATCTACCCTCACTTCCACCACGGTCAGGTCAGTGCTTAGGGTAGGGATCTCCTTCTGCACTGCCGCCCTGAACTCCTGCTGCAGGCCCCCTGTCTCCGCCTTCGTGAGTATGTGCTCCGAAATCATAGCCAGTTCTTGCCTTATTTGGGTCAGTGTGTCGTCCTGGGCACTCCCTTGCAGCGAGTCTCCTGCGCTTTTCATGCTCGGGGATTCAGGTGCCATGTTGTCCAGGGGCCTAGCCCCATGGAGCTCAGCTGGTGTGGACACGAAATCGTCCATAGTGCTGGTGTGCCTGCGCGGGGAACCCGCTTGCGACGTTCCCTGGGTACAAACCATTTTGGCTTGGAATTAAGCTAAATTATTGCTATTTTGTGGCCAAGGGTGAGGAGCTCAAGCACTACATGTCCTGTCTCATGCTCGGTCCAGCCACGTCCCCCTCTCTTTTTCATTTTGTCATTTTTGGAGAGGACAGCGCAGCAAGCACAGATGCCATGGTGAACTGAGGTGAACTGAGAGAGACTGTCCCAGACTACCCAAGATGAAGGCGCAAGGGGAAGATCTTCATTTAAATGTCTAAGTATTGCCCTTTTACTATGTATCTTTTGATTATGTACTGGATGTGGTTATAATGTGTAATGCGTATATCCTTGTTAAATCTGTAACAGTATCCTAAATCAATATTAACAATACATTGTATTATACACTTGTGTTTGTGTCTTATGTCACTCATTCCCTAAAAGAATATCCTTGTAAGAGGGTCATAATTTCTTACACAATGGCGAGCCAGGCAGGAGGGATTTTGTGTGACTTTTAAGCATATTCATAAGTGTATAGATTGTATATTGACTTTTGGATACTGTTCAAATATTGTGTATAGAAATTTCAGTGAATTGTGCTTTGTCAATGATGGAGAGTTTATTGAAAAAGATTGCTAAAGTGTCTAATCCAGAAGCAATAGTAAAATGTAGGGAGGGTGCATTAGATCTGTGGGTTAGTGCTTAGGATTATGTGGCATGGGAAACTATTGAAAAGAAATTGTCAAAATCTAGTGGTAAAATTGCTTTGATTTATGCTGCCCGTTGGATTGCAAATCTTTATACAAGCAAAAAGAGAAATTAGAGGAAGATGTGCTGAGTTTAAAGAATGGTGTTGAATCATTTAAACTGTCTGTGCAAAATGCTGCTGCTTTGTGTATAGATAGTCAGCCAATGTGTCAAGAAAATGAGGAATTGCATACTTGTAATGAGCGGCTCGTAGAAAGGCTTGAGGATGCAGAAGGTGCTATTAGGATCCTTGCTTCCAGCAGCCAGAAAGAGGCTGATTCTGCCTGCTATGAACAAATTGATGATTTAAAAAGTAAACTAAGAAAAAGAAATGGTTTTGCTGCTACAAAATATTGGCTGAAAACTGATTGTGGAGGTTTGTGTGCAACAAAGATGGAGGTGTTTTGATAATAATGATAGAGATTGTGAGTAAAGTATTCCTGCAAAAATGGCACCAATTTCAGTTAAAATTAAAATGCATTCTCAGGGAATTTTAATTTCTCAAAAATGTGTGTCCAGACCCTTGTCTATAGCTGAGACTAATTTAGTTTGCAAAGAGTTTGGAAAAATAGGCTTTCTTGATAATCCAGTGGAAGTGTTCATAAAGATTCAGCTTTTTTATAAAGTCAAATCAAATTTATTAGATGTAGACAAATTTGAAGTACTTTTGAGTAGTCTGGACTGTGCCTTAGAGGCAAGTTTAACACCTGAAGTGTTTCTAGAGCCCAGAAACAAAGATCTGCTCTCAAATTAAATCTTAAAAGCCCTAGGTATGGAGGAGACACATGTCCATGCTTCATTTGAACTGTTTTCAAAGAAATGGACAGTCTGTCCAGGAATATAGTGATAGGTTGTTCATGCTTTACAAGTTAACATTCCCAGCTGGACAACAAGCAAGTCAAGACGATTTTTCATATAAAAGGGCCCTACTGAGCAAAGTACTGCCTTCTATTTAGGAACGTCTTGGATTGTGTGTGTCTCCACAGGGGGATAGAGAAGAGATAATAACAGTAAACCCCCCCCCTCCCCAGAACTTGCATTCCCAACCATGTGCTTAAAGCACAGAATAGACAACTAAAGGAAAAAAAATGTTCTCTAACATGTGAATGAAATAAGTTCCTTGAAAAACTGGATTGTCTGAAGTCACAATTAAGTAGATTAGTTAGTAGATGGTTAACAAAGAATCTGATAACAGATACAGTCTCTCTTGAATTACCTATTCTAGTTGTGTGAGATTAACTTTCTCTTAATATTTGTTTTTTAGAAGAATATGGAGATGAGGCCAATTGAGAAGGAAGAAAAATATAGAGCTGTGAGAAGACCAACCATTTAACATGTTTATTTATTTCAGGAAAAATACAGCTCCAGTTTATAGAGTACCTTAATATGTATTTTTATATATATATTTTTTATATTCAGGATAAGTCTCTAAACTCATTCATTACAATCAGGTGGTCCAAATTCCAATTTCTTTTTTGTTTTTATTAGTTTAGCACACCTGCACTGCCAGCTATGTTTTATTTATTTTTATTTTTTATGCTGGATTACCAATTATAAATTCATAGATTAGGTGAATTGTTGCCAGTGTGAGGCTTATATTTTGATCACACTGGAGAGATGTGATAATGTAATTCCCTTTTGGTTTACAACAGTAAATATTTTTGTTTTTGTCTTTTTTCATTTGGTTACCAACAAAATTAGCCTCAAGCCGTTTTTTTTTATTTTTATCTTTTAAAGGCAACAGACCATTGTCAGTTTTCTTTTAGATTGCAGGCTGCCAAACTTTGTATACAGTTCAATGTCTTAAGGTGATGGTGGCATTCAATCTACTTTTTTTCTCTCTCCATTTCCTTTGACTTTGCTGTTTTATTATGCTTTTTATTGTATTTAACTCTCTAAAGGGAATATAGGAAAAATAGATAATGTATATTTTGCATTGCCTTGAGTCAAGGTGGGGTGAACAATAGAATGATAATGATTATGCTTTTTTTTTTTAATTTATACTCTCAAGGTGGGTTATAGAATATAGGCAAATTAGACAATTTTGTATAATTTATATTGTCTTGAGTCAAGGTGGGTTGAGTGACAATATATGATTTTGCATTTTCTATTTACTCTATTTGGTTATCCACAAGGGGTTGAATATTTATGGTTTTAGTAAGATTATAGTAAATTATTTTATACTGTTATGAGGATGTATTCCTTAGTACACATTAAGGTGAATGGTTGCATTTTCCTCACATTTGTGTTTATAATGTTTTAGATGACCACTTGTGAATCCAGACGGTAATGCTGAGACAAGGATGATAATCAAACCACTAGTGATTTGCATAATGTAACACTGCACACTTTCTGTGCTAAGTATTTTTTAATTTCCAGAAGCCAAGGGCCTATTAACAAATTATTAAAAATCCTCAAGGGCTCAAACACAAACCCACTCCAGCTATACAACTTTCAATAAAAGTGCACAAACACCTCCAGTCAGATCCCCATTACAAACAGTAAACTTTGTTTCTCCCTTGTGTGGTCTCTTCAATACACTATGTAAGTGAACAGCAAATTAACTGCTGTTGGTGTGAAAATACACAAGGTGTCATGGTGGGCAGAGATTAGAGGCCTAATAGCTCAAAGTAAGCAAGGCCAGGGTAAAGGAACAGTGTGGGGGAAGCAGTGTTGGTGGCAACAGTAACTGAGCATGATAGCAGTGAGCCTATGCCAAGTCTATGAGGGTAATGGAAGGTTACGTATATGGCTGCAGGCGTTCGAATTATTAAAAATATGATAACTGTGAGTGCCTCAAAAGCTTACATCCCTCCAGCAGTTCTCCTGCCAACCAGTTTTCCATACATGTAATCAGGAGATCAGAGATCAGGAGACCTGGAATAATAACATCTAGGTGTAATTATGGAAGAATGTGTTTTCCCAAGCCATCCTGTCTCTAAAAGAAGTCCAGGCCTGCTCAAAACCTACCCAAAAGTCAACCCTAACTGGTCACTTCTTACATAACATTGTAGTATAGAGATCAAAGAGAGATCAAAGAAAAGGACTTGTGTAAAGATGGAAGGGAGGGAAAATGGATTCTGGGACATGTGGTTAAGGGCTGCCAGAATCTCTCTTTAAAAAGAACAGCCAAGGAGGTTGGGCTTCTCTCTTTTTGTCTTTTTTGGAGAGGACAGTGCAGTAAGCAGAGGTGCCATGGTGAACTGAGAGAGACTGTCCCAGACTACCCAAGCTGAAGGCACAAGGGGAAGATCTTCATTTTAATGTCTAAGTATTGCCCTTTTACTATGTATCTTTTGATTATGTACTGGATATGGTTATAATGTGTAAAGCGTATATATACTTGTTAAATCTGTAACAGTATCCTAAATCAATATTAACAATACATTGTATTATACACTTGTGTTTGTGTCTTATGTCATTCATTCCCTAAAAGAATATCCTTGTAAAACGTTCATCATTTCTTACACCCCTATTCAAGAGTGAGCACCGAAAATAAATGATTGATCTGTCTGTTACATAGCTGAAAAGAGACTTGCGTTAATCAAGTTCAGCCTTCCTCACATCTGTTTTCTGCTGTTGATCCCCTCTCAGGCAACGTTTTTCTAAACTAAAGAAATTTTATTTTTTAACCTATGGACTCATTATTTCCTTCCCTTGTGGTTTCACACTTATGTTGCAAATTGCCAATGTTCTAATTCATTGTTGTGAACACTCCAAGAGGCACTGGGGAGTACCTTGTTTGGGAACTGAACAGGGTGGGAAGCAATCCATGAATGCACCCTATAGGCGGCGATCGTCTAACAAATGGGCCGCAACCCAGGGTCGGCATGCGCCAAGGCTTCCCTTGTGATTTGTGGTTTTGACACCTTGTTACAACAACATTCTAAATTAGATTTCGTAGTGGTGCCTGTTCGGGAGGCGAATGGAACCTGTTCACATTGACCCCCCCAAAAGAGGAGCAGGTAAAACATATGAATACAGCACAATACAGGGGAAAACACGGGAAATATCTCATAGCAATTAATGAATAGGCAGTGGTCCTGCCACAGCTATAAAGCTACAATGTCCCCATCGGTGGACAGACACCGCCTACACAACCACATACAATGCCCAGTGCCCACGACCAAATCTGATAAACTACTCCAGACATTCATAGAAACATAGAAACATAGAATGTGATGGCAGATAAGAACCATTCGGCCCATCTAGTCTGCCCAATTTTCTAAATACTTT